TTTCCAAAGTTGTAGGATTTGTCGTAAGTTTGTATGAAAAAGCAAAAAAAGCGATAGGTTCACAGCAGAGCTTCCAAGAACAGCACAGGATGGATGAGTTCAGCGGCAGCCCGGGATCCCTCGTTGCGGACGTCGACTGCACAACGGAGGGCCAGTCTTTGTGCACCAAGTTTGGGATCCAGGGCTATCCCACCATCAAGTACGGAGAGCCTGGGGACCTTAAGGACTACCAGGGTGGACGCGACTTCGACACGTTGAAGAAGTTCGCCGAGGAGAACTTGGGGCCCACATGCGGTCCGGCGAACATGGACCTTTGTAGCCCGGAGATGAAGAAGAAGATCGAGGGATACTTGGCGATGTCTCCGGACCGTCTTGAGGGCAAGATCCGCAACTCCATCCGCATCGTGGAGGAGGAAGTGCCCATCATGAAGAAAGTGATGGCGCACATGAAGAAGGCCAAGAGCGAACTTTAAGGCAGTGAAAGCCGCTTGTAGCAGCGGATTTTGTTTCACTGGCCACGGTTGCCCGTTGAGCCAAGATGCAGCTTCTTGATGAGGAGGGTCGGGTGTAAGGATGCGTTCGACTTGGAGTCTTAATGTCTTAGTGTTCTTGTGGGCATAGAGCGCACATGGCTATAGGCTATTGCTGTCAAGGTGGTTTTGGCCCTGCACGAGCTGCTGCCATAAGAAAAGCCACAGTGAAAATCTTTTGTTCCGACGAAAGCATTTAGCTTCCGGAGGGTGTTCTCCCACTGGCTGGCGAGTGGGGTTCTCCTGCCACTTAGTGACGCCCACATTCCTTGCCAAGTGCGCAGGGGAAGTGGCTGAGACATTGGCAGGGCTCCTTGTGCCAATCAGGGATAGCCTCTCGCAACAGGGAAGAGACCAGACCTGGGGGACACCCAGGCCATGCCAGACAAAATCGGTGCTGCTGATGGATGCCGAAGGCGGTGAGGGTTCACAGACATATATGGGTAGCTCTCTCGCGTTTTAGGGTCCTTTTTTATTATCAGGGTGCCGTACTTTTATGGGGACCCAAAGAGGGACCCTAATTTAGAGAATTACCTGTGTATGGAGGTTCGGTTTGGTGCCCGAACCAAAGCGAAACCAGTGTGTTGCAAGAGCTGCATGCCTCGGCCGGTAAAGTTCCATGTCCCTGAAACCTTCAACTCAGACTGGCTTCTTGTTAAGGGATTTAGTTTAAGTTACCATAATAGTCCTTGTTGGATACAATTTTACAATTTTGTACATGTTTGTTATAACAAAACCCTAATAAGGATTAAAAGGATTAAACTGATTAAACATGATCATTTCTAAAATGGCCCCAACAGGGAACCAGAAACCCAGAGTATTCAGAGGTCAACGCAACAGCTGCAGATCGAGCTTGAATGCGGCGTGTGGTGCCGTGCCAGAGCTCCACAAGACGACCTTCCGCTCAAAGGCAAAGGGGGGGGTTTTACGGTTTAGGGCTCAGGGTTCAGGCATTTGGGGTGAAGGGTTTAGGGGTTTCGGGTTTGGGGTTTTGGGGTTTAGGGTTTGGGGGTTTAGTGTTTGGGGGTTTAGGGTTTAGTTTAGGGTTTAGGGTTGGGTTTAAGGGGAGGGGGGGAGAGGGGCAGAGCTCGGGTTCGCTAGACTGTTCGACTCCTTAAGTTCACAGAGCTCAAAGGTTCCTGAGCGGATGCAGTTCCTTTTGGGGAATACCTTTGAGGATTCTAGATATAAACCACAATAAGGAACTACTTAGGGGCCCTACCCATACAAATGCTCTTCGGCCAGAAGGGTTATGACGGTTATGAGCTTCTGGAGGGAGGGGAAGACCTTGTTTTTGGTGCATGTCTCGTGGGCTGGCGGTTTTCCCGGCTTATTTGCCTGGGAAGTTTTACGCATCAGCGGTGAGTCTTTACGTCAATGTAGCTAGTTTGTCAATGTGCCGGCGGCATGCATCACTGTCTTTGCCGACATGTGCCAGACAGAATCTTCGAGGGTGGTTGCAGGATATTTAGTAGAAGTGCTTCCGGTTTGAGTTCTTGAACAGACAGAACCGCTGTGAAGGAGGGGAAGACGAATCCAGTGTCTCTGCGAAGCGAGCCGGCTGCACGGATTCGCGAGAGGCGGAGTGGTATGACGAAAGCAGAACTTTTCATCCTAGCATTCTGGTAAATGCAGTGGTTCAGCTCTTGAAATCAGATTCTGCGTTCACTGTCACACGGGGGATCTACGATCCTAACAGAGACATTCGCGAATGTTGGCGACACCTTAGACTTGTACAGCTTGGAGACTATCCTCTTGCTCGTGTTCGTGTGCTTGAACCGGCGCAGTGAGCCAACCGGCAAACACGAGCTTGGGGAAGCATAGGGAGCCGATGCAAGATCTGAACTCTTTCTGAATTCAGCCTTGCCTTTGGAGTGTTTGGACCATGGCCCGAAGGATTCTTGCAACCTGGTTAAGGGCTCCAGGAGCGCTCCAAAACCTTCGCTGCGGGTATGGTAGCAGATTTAGGCCCAGAGACCCATGCCACCTGGTGATTTTACCTAGGCTATGTTTCGACGAAGACGGTGCAGAGGCTTGGAGAACAGCCGCCATCTCAAGCTTCGGATGAGCACAACTCTTGGTATCTCGTGTGAGGCTGAAGGCACGAAAAGCCCCGGAACCCAAGGCACTGTTTCAATCCGGCCAAGATCTCTTGGCTCAGTTCCCTCGAGCACCAGGCGTGCTGGCATGAATGATATGCGTGGCATCGGCGCTGGGGTGCCGCTTCCAGCCGCCCTGTAGTGTTATGGACTGCCAGGTGTCGATGCACGCATCCGTGGCCACATGAAGCGGTTTGAGCAGCAAAACCGCTCAAAAAGCTGAGAGCACATGCTCGGTGAATTTCGGTGACTCGGTAGCCACTGTTCTCCACGTCCGGCAGGCAAGTGGCGTTCGGGATTGTTTCAGTGCGGCTGTTGGTGACGCGAAGCACGGCCTCCGAATGAACAGCAGTGATTGGAAATCGCCGTAGGAGTGGCTAAGTCCCCACATCAATCAACCTTCGATGCAAAGGCCTAAACAAGCCCTTGTGCACCAACAGTGCAGCAGCCTGGACGTCATGGCCGTTTCACAGAATCTGACAGGGTGACTTTCAATACGAACCCAGGCCCGCACCCCGGCCACTCTGATGCTCTAGAGATTGTTTTATGGAAGGCAACTATAGCCGAAGCTGGGACGGGATCCTACGTCGAAAGCAGTGGAGCTTCGGACGATGTCCGAAGCGCTGCACTGAGAGCACAAGAAAGTCAGATGAGATGGTGGCCACGCTTCGCTGATGATTTTCTCACGCTCTCAAAGAATCGCATGCCTGTGACGTGGGGGCTGGACACGTCAGTTGTGATTCAATCTTTCTGCACGACGCTTTCGAAATTGGGTTCTTTCATTGCATGGTCGGTGATCAATCCTGATTGTTCTCAGTCGCCAGATATTGCCTGCTGACTGTTTTGAAAGATCTTTCGCTTCGCTGCGATGTTTTCGCCTCCTCCGGCTCAAGCTGCAAACATCACCATGAGGGTGGCTGGCATGCCCTCGAAAATATGTGTCTGGAAGCTCCCACTGTATGGGGGTGTAGGCTGTGGAAGTGTCGTGCAGCTTCCCCAGAATCAGGAGTAATCAGGGGAAAGTCGTCCTCGAAGCTGCGAGCATCAGTTTGCAGATGGAAGCATCGAATGTACAAGCGACATGCCCAAGTGAAGGACACTTACAGCTGCGAGCCTTCATTGGCTCCACACAACATAGCTGTCAGAACTAGTGGTAGACGGGCCTTTCCGCGAGCAGGTCGGCTAGGTCTGCTTGTTTCCAGGCAGTGACGTGAGCTTTCAGCCATGGAAACGAAAGTACCAGCTGTGGTGGTGGCAATCCTGCCATGTCTTGAGCAGAATTGGACACGTGCAAATTGATTGTTCCCAGGGTTGCCATCATGTGTGGTGTTCGATAGTGAGAAACTGCACTCATGCATCTGTCGTTCTGCTGTCTGGTTCGATACGCTTGCCGCAAGGTCACTTGGGCTTGGGGGGTGGGGCGGGGGCGGTGTCACCGAAGCCTTGAAAGCATGCAGAGAATCCAAAGCCAGGCTTCTTTTGTTTTTTTAATCTCCAGATGTCTGCCGAAAGCTTCCCCCAGGTCTTTTCTGGCCGACCTGTCGATCCACAGCTTTGGACCTAAACCCAAAAGAAAAGTTCAAGGGTGCCGAGCCCAACTTCCAAGATCCTCAAGCCTAAAACTCCTATGAGCCCCGACGCCAGAACCCCCCCTAAACCCTAAACCCTAAACAACCCTAAACCCAAAGCCCTAAGCCCTAAACCCTACCCTCCAAGCACCGCCAGGTGGGAGGAGCCGGCCTCGTGGGGCGGTATGTCCTCCGACGCTGGAAGCAGAAGATGGAGGCACCTCCCCGACTCTCCCGGCTTGGTGTTTTCGGGAGCATGGACATCGGATTTAGGGTTTAGGGGTCGGCTTCTTGGCTGAAGGGATTCAGGGCTTAGTGCATTGCAGTCCCTGCTCAAAAAGGGGTCGGCTTCTATACGGATCGTGGTTTTCCTTGTCTTGGGTGGATGGGGTTTTGGATGGGATGGGAGGAAGTCAGGGTTCTTGGTGCAAGCTTTACGTAGGCCGATTTAGTGTGCTTGCGTGGTTGCGACGGAAGCATACGTAATATTCATAGTATTCACACCGAATGATCTGGGCCTTTTCCAAAAATTTGCTTGGCTCTATGTAAGGGGTCCTTCGTTCCACCACTGCCAGGACATATACAAAAAACCCATTTGAAAGGCGCTTGGGATGTACTGGAATCCTGGAAGATCTGAAAGGTCATCCCTAAACCCCTAAACCATAAACCCTAAACCCTAAACCCTCGTGTTTCGTTTAGGTGCTTGTTCGTAGCCTCATGCCTTGGCAGCACTCGGTCCCAAAGCTGCAGCTGCGTTGGTTCAAGCGGAAGTTCCAGGGGCCTGTCTTCGCGACGCTTGAAGCATGGAGGGCCGCCAAAGCACAGGACAGGGACAGAAGACTTAAGCTGCTTCTGGCCGCACGAGCAAAGAGATAAAGCGTTCCGCTTTCTCTCTCGAGTCTCGGAAAATAGGGGGGGCAGGTAGCGTCTGCTTGTCTTCTTAGGGGCTGAGTAGGTAACCTTTAACCATTTGGGGCTTATATAAGCCCCTTATAGTTCAAAAGGTTAACCCGTTTTGGGCTAAGGTACTCGGCCCCTAAGTCTTTGGGGGGGGGGGGCTCATGGCATTCAGCTTCTCTTTGCGGAATGCTTCCCAGGAATCGCACAGGACTTTGGTGCCTGTGTTGCGAATTGCAGGAAGCCCACTTTCACCGCTCGCCTCGCACTACGAGATAGACGTCGCTTGTCTTTATGAGGGACAGAGGTTTGGTCTGTGTCACCAGAGCTTGCAGAGCCATCTCAAAGCCAAATTCGGGTAATATGAAATATATGGTCTAGTTGGATGTACCCAACAGCTGTCTCCATCCCGATCCCACACTCAAGCATCAGTGGATTCGGAATTCCACAGTCTCCGACATGCATGTTTTGCTGTGTTCGGAAACTATGCACAAGCAGTCGTTCAGCTTTTGAAGGCAGAGTCCGTGGCTTGGATCCGGGAATGCCAAGGATTGGGTGTGGCACAAAGACGACAGGGAGGGCATCTGGGCGGCATGCAGCAGCTTCTGATAGAATTACGGGATCTCGTGTGGAGCATCAGGACACGCAACCAATTAGTGTGCTTCATCGGTGGGTTTGGACGTACAAACTTGCTGAGAACGGCCGCACGGTTGCTCAAAGTCGAAGCGGCAGACAAGGCTACCGCCGTTCTCGTGTCCTGAGTGTGGACAACTTTCGGGACGCTCAGCATGCAAGTCGTGAGACCCCACTTCTTCTGGATTGAGACTAGGGTTTAGGGTTTCGGAATTGATTTAGCAACGCAACTTCCATCTGAATGGTTCACATGGAGTCCATTCCAGACCCTCAAGATTGCTATGCGAGTGCTCAAAAGCCCGGGAGTTTCGAATGCCCCTAAACTGGGCCCTAAGCCCTAAGTCAAAAAACCCTGGCCCTAAACCCCAAGTCAAACCCTAAACCCCAAGTCTTTCACATCTCCTGAGGACTCCATCATCGTGGCTGCTGATGGCCCGAGCGGTGCGTCTCAGGCCGCTCCTTGCCTCAGCCTTGGCTTAGGGTTTGAGGGTTTTAGGGTCTCTGAACTGACGAAGAGCTTGCTTTGGGTAGGGTTTTAGGGTTTAGGGCTTGAGGGTTTAGGGTGTGAGGGTTTAGGGTTTTTAGGGTTTAGGGTTTAGGGTTTTTAGGGTTTAGGTTTTAGATTCTTAAGCCTGGAAGCTTCGGGAAGGTTGACGATCTTCCTATCTTGAAGGCATGTGCAAACCGAGGTTCGCAAGAGCGATGTCCGCCCCTTCTACGATGTGGGCGAGGCCTCAAGTGCCTGCTGCCCAAGCGCGGTCTGTCTCCACGATGGGAATCGGGAAAGCAAGTCTTAACAGAGCTTGAACAGGAGGGGGCGCGTATTAGCCGGGTCATGACAGGGCTGCGCCCGTTTGCAGGAGCGCACTTTCCAGGACTGCACGGAGATGGTGCATTTGGACGATGCAAACATCTTGGACAACTTGCGCCGCTGGGTCCAACTGTGCGAGCACTACTTCACACAAGTAGGTAGGGTATATGGTACTATAAAGAAAAAAAGAAAAATAATTGATGCATTATAGTGCAATATGATTATATTATACTATATAATGTAATATTATGTCATATTATGTTATATTATGTTATCTGTTATGTTATATGACATTCTATTATCTTCAGTAGATGAATGAATGCCTGCGCTGCCTGTATCCGGTGCTCCTGGCCGGGCCACCCCTGAGGGCTACAAGCCAACTGTAGTCCTACTGCGAAAGACAGAAACCGAGTCCGACGGCTCTTTGAGGGACCCCCTTGACTGAGGCGAGGGCTGCAAGCTTCTCTGGAGCCCTAAACCCTGAACCCTAAAACCCTAAATCCTAAACTCTAAACCCCTAAACCCTTAGCTGAACCTTAAACCCTAAAACCCTAAAACCCCAAAACCCTAAACCCTAAACCGTGTGAGGCAAGAGGTACTCCAAAGACGAGATCTACACCTACACCGCCAACGTCCTACTCGCGGTGAACCCTTACAAGAGCGTTCGTCGCCTCTATTCTCGCGAGGACCAATTTAGGGTTTAGGGGGGTGGTGGATTTCCACACCTTGGGCGCACGACTCACGCTGAACTGAGCATTTGCAACTGCTGCCCCTGCTCTGCACTCCTTGCAGGAGATGGAGAAGTACTGGGGCAAGAACCCAGGCTCCCTCCCTCCTCATCCATATGCATCTTGCATGCAATTGGACAGCTGGACGCAATGGAAGTGTTGCCACAGGAGGGTGCTTTCGTTAGCAGCATCCCTTACGGGAGTTCTTAGCCATTCTCAGTGTTGTCCATCTAGCACCATCTCCAGCACTTTCAGGCCATCGCGGACGTGGCATATCGACGCATGCAGCGGAATCGCAAGAACCAGGCCCATGACTCATGAGTTGTTGGAAATTCCGCCTGGCGCTTCAGCCCATGCTTTCTGCTTCTCTCAGGAAGCCCACAAGAAACTGCGGCCACTTCAACAACAGTTGTGTTGTCTTCAGCCATTGTTACGCCGGAGTATGCCAGGGCTTTGCTGCACAGACATACAAACCATAAGCACGCGTGCGAGTGGAAAAGAGAGAAGCATGCCAAAGATCAGCTGCACAAACGGACGAAGTAGGCCATATACCAATCGTATCCAATCGTGATGGTATCAACAGTCATAACGAGTGTAGCGGTGTGGCAGGAGTACTTTCCTCGCACCAGAAGTAGTCACAACAATGGATCCCGCTCGAACCCATGAAGCCCCGCCAGCGGGAGAGGCTTTGGTGATCAGCGGTGAGAGCGGTGCGGGAAAGACGGAGACAGCCAAGATCACGATGCACTACCTCACCTCCATGTCCAGGAGAAGCTTAGGGTTTAAGGTCAGACGGGAAGAGAGGGAGAGTTGGTGGGCTTCGATGGCGTTTGCATACAGCTGGGCGCCATGAGCTGGGCGGTTGACAACAATCCTATGGCCTATGGGTTTCGGCTGTAGGGCCGTCGAAAACTCGCATCATCACCGGACAGGCCACCCTGCACCCAAGATGAAACCCAAATTGCAACATCTAGCCAAGCTATGCTGATCGGTCAACATCCAGTTGATGTTCGGGTTGAGCAGTTTGCCTTTGCTCAAAGCTTTCACGCTTACCATTGAAGGACTGATGTGGAGCATGGAAACAAGATCCAAGAGAAGATTGTCAAGGCGAACCCCATCTTGGAATCGTTCGGCAACGCCTCCACGGTGATGAACATGAACTCTTCTCGGTTTGGAAAGTGTCTGAGCTGTTTAGAAAATGAACTGTTTGAGGGCCTTTGGGCTCTTTCTCAGATGGTTCACAGAATCTGGGGCAACCAAGGTACAACGAAATGATGTTCGACCGGGTCGGTTCTCTGGTGGGTGCGGGGATCAAAACCTTCCTCTTGGAAAGTTCTCGTGTTGTCTTTCAACAGCACGGCGAGAAGAATTACCATGTCTTCTATGAGCTTCTGGCTGGCATGGATGAGGAGTTCTTGGACAGGCTGATGCTCGAACGGGAAGAGAGCTACAAGCTGCTACACTCCAGCGGAACCCCTCCTTTGCAAGACGGCTCGCCTGAAACACAGCGACTGGCTAAACAGTTCGAGGAGCTCAAGTATGCACTGTCTCTCTTTATCAATGAGGAGGAGCAGGACTGTCTGGGACATGCCCTTGCTGGATCGGAAATTCTAACTCTTTACTGAGGATCTCTTTCTCGATGTCTCTTCATGATAAAATATGGTATTTGATCTAAAGCTCCTCGAGCCATAGTTTATATGAAAGGCCAACTGCATAGCTAAATATGTCTTCGCGAAAGTTCCCCGATGGCGCGGCGATACCTAATCTTCTTGGCGAAAGTTATCTATCTAGACTACTTGCCGTAGTATGCCGTAGTACTACTGTGACTAATACTGTGACTATTGATACTGTTACCATTACAATTACTATTATTCTTACTACTAGTAAATTACTGTTACTGTCACTCTTACTGGTAGTGTTACTGTCATTGTTGCTGTTACTGCTACTGCGACTGTTACTGTTACTCTTACGCAGTACGACGACGACGACTACTACTACGACGACGACTACTACTCTACCACTACTGCTGCTGCTGCTGCTGCTGCTGCTGCTGCTGCTGCTACTTCTACAACTGCTACTACTGCTACTACTGCCACCACCAACTCTCATGCTGTTGCTACTCCTGCCACTGCTGTTGCTGCTGCTGCTGCTGCTGCTGCTGATACCGTTGCTGTAGCCAAGTGCCAAAATTAGGTTCCCGTGCAGGGTTTGGTGTATAAGTTCCGCGTAAGTGTCGCTAAGTCGACGTAGCCAGATCTAGGCCAGGCCTCAATGTACTAAGCTCAAGAATCTAACCGTCTAGCCCTCAAGACGGCTTCGTCAAAATCCAATCCAACTATTGTAGCTTTCACGCAGCACTGAATCCCCTCGGAAGACTCCCAGAAGCTCTTAATTATAATGCCCGTAAAAGCTTGCCATCGAGAAGCTTGTAGGAAGCTTTGCACATTCAATTGGGCGTATAAATCGGGTTCTAACTTGCCAGGGTATGTAAAACTTATGTAAACATGCCTTCGCGAAAGTTCCGCGATGGTGTGACGAAAGTTTATCTTCGTCCGCGAAGATTGTCATTCCGGGATGAAGGATGTTAGATGAACAGCCATATTATAACGAACTATTATACCATATTATTGTACCTTCCTCTGAAGGCCATAATTATAACGAAATATTATATCATATATGGTACCTTCCTCTGAAGGCCATATTATAACGAAATATCATATCATATATTGTACCTTCCTCTGAAGGCCATATTATAACGAAATATTATACCCTAAACCCTAAACCCCTAAACCCTAAACTGCCCTAAACCCCTAAACCCCTAAAATATGGCAGCTTCCTCTCAAGGAGCACATGTGGGACATCCTTGGGGCATTGATCCACTTGGGCGAGGTGGAGTTCGTGGAGACAGGGCCTTCCGAAGATGAAACCCGGCCTCGGAAATAGTAATAGGGGTTTTAGGGGTTTAGGGGTTTTAGGGTTTTAGGGGTTGAGGGTTTTTGGGG